CAGCTCTGCCATTCTGTTCTGGTGTGTAGGGTACTGTAGTTTCATGAATGATCCCTCTTCTTTTACATAAATTTTTAAATTTAGTATTTATAAACTCAGCACCATTATTAGATCTAAACCTTTTAATTGTAGACCTAGACTCATTACTGAAAGTTAATATGAAATCTTCTATCAAGTCAGCTGTTTCGGTTTTATTTTTTAGAAAATATACAAATCTATAAGAACTATAATCATCTTTAAGAAGTAAAAAATATTTAGAACCTCCTAACGATTCCTTCTCCATAGGACCACATAAATCCATATGAATTAATTCACCTAAAGAACTTGCTCTATAATCACATTTACTAAATGGTAATCTATGCTACTTTCCTTCTATACATGGTATGCATTGTTCTATATTTCCATCATATTTAATATTATAACTATTTAATGTTTCTTTTACCAAATTATAATTTTGATGTGCAAAACGTTCATGCCATTCTGTCAAAGATGTCAATGCTACAGAGTCATTAAATTTAAAATTCATAATGAACAAGTTATTAACCCGAGTAGCAGTACAAGTAACCTCACCATCTTTAACAAAATGACAACCAATTTTTGTTGATTTCATAACATAACCTTTATCCATAGCGCAAACAACAGAAAATAAATTTACTGTTAGGTCTGGAACATAGAGCACTTCAAGTAAGACTGACTTTTCAAAACTGTTACCATTAAAAGCTAAAAATTCAATTTTACCTTTGCCTTTTACTCTTAACTTGTAACCGTCTCCTACTGTTACATATTTGTTGCACTCAAGCTCTCTATATTCTGTAAATAACTGCATATTTTTACACATATGTTCGCTTGCATCTGTATCTAGTATCCAACAACTATCATCATAATCTAAATTTATCACATATGCTTTTTAGACACTGTTATTACTTTTATTACATTCTCTACCTTTATTTAACCGCAATTTACAGTTATTATAAATATGTCCTTTCCTACCGCAATAATTACACTGTCTGAAGTTATACTGATTCTTAAAATGCCCATATTTACCGCACTGAAAACACTTAATACCACTGTCACTCCCATTATTTGATTTATTAGAAATAAACTCTTTCTTTGGTAACTCTCTTCTGTATCTGGATTTATTAGATTTATTTGCCACAAATGCTTCTCTAGTGTGTACCCTGTTACCATTAATTTGCAGTCTCTCTTTTTCGACCAATAATCGAGCTGTCAGATTTTTTATGGTTTGCTCCGAACTCTGAACACTTTCCCATGCCGAGATGAAATGCTTATATTCTTGTGGTAGACATAATAATATCTTAGTCATAGTCATATTTTTTGATATTTCTTTTCCATCTGTTTTTAATTGATGTAATAACTCTTCTACCTGTGCCATAAATTTTGCCATAGGCCCTTCATATTTTAGATTGTAGAACTTCTGTTGTATTAAATAGATTCCTACCTTGGATTTCGCTTCGTAGACAGTAGTCTGTTTCTCCCACATGTCATATGCTGTTGCACAACTTGTCAGTAGTGTTAGAATATTCTCTTCCACTCTCGTTACAATTAACTCTTGAGCTTTCTGATCTTTATCTCTTTCTTCTTTGGTACATTTCGCGGTGACCATGTTGTATAAACCTCGCGACTTTAAAACAATGGATACCTGGAACCGCCATGTGGTCCAGTTTTGTTCGTTTAATGTAATTGCCCGTTCCATTTTTATTTTGTAGAATATTGTTTTCTATATAAATATTCCTTTTTATCACTATCTGGGTTTCTTCTGTATTGCAAATTTTGTTGCAACTTTTCCTTCTATCGTGCCGCTTTGCACTTGCAAGCACGCTATAAAACCAAAATGAATTCCTTATAAAAAGAATCATTAATCATCCGGTTTTATTACTCTTCTTTTCTGCCTTTGTGTCTGGACCCATAACCTGTTGGGGTTTGGGAAATAAAATACGTCTATATTGTAATTAACTTCTCTATTCCGTAATAATTTCTTTAACAAAAAGGCAGATACACCAGATATAAGTTGAAACATCGCCGCTATAGACGACAAGTAGTAGTGTTGACAGATACAAAAAAATTTAAGAGTTGATGAGCACAGATAAATGTTTTTATTGTACTATTAACTAACTATATATCTAACAGCATTGGTATGATGTCTGTATGTATAGTCCAATCGGAATCCGGTTTGGGAACAAAATATTGAAAACCTAAAGTTTTATGATTTTAAAATTTTAGCAGGTATATAAGGAATAGAAATTCGTAAAATGCCCACTATGCCCAGTTACCCCCGAGAAATGCGTAGGTCTAGTAACAATCTACAACTTTTATAAATAAAACTTTCAATAACCACAGAGTTTTCGAGATATTTCCTAAAACTCGGTTTTTAACTTTTTCTTGGTTTTTTAGTTTTAATTTCTAGAATAATCTTTTAATTTCCATCAAACTAAGGGAATGTAATCTTCCAAATACATATAATAAATAAATAAAAAAAATGAAATTGAAATGTTCAGCAATTTCTGAGAAAAGTATGTTTTATGGTCTCGAGAGGCTGAAAATCCTATGTCCTTACCAGGGTCTCAAACTATCGTCTTACCAAATTTCATCTAAATCGGTTCAGTAGATCCAGAGATTACCCTCTACAACCTCACAAACTCACAAACTTTACCTCTTTATAATATTAAGTATAGAAGTATAGATAAGACGGAGGTTATAGGATGAATCTATGCATCTTAATATTTATAATTACTGCATTATAAGATATGAGATGTATGTACAATGTACATATCGAATATAGTATATTCGATAAGAAGGGAGCAGAAAAAATATTTTTGTGCAAAGAAATAGAATTCATGCAGTTATCTAAATTACGTCGTTGTACCATTACATTCTGCTTCTATGCATTACATTCATTGCATTCTGTCACAAAGAGTGGGTATAATTGAAGTTATTTTACGTGCTATAAAATTCAAATACAACTTGATTGGACTAACCAGGACTAAACCGCATTTGGAGCCTTTATAATATGTTTATAGATATGATGAGTTTTATATAATATCCCTTACTTGAAAAATGATTGATTCCCCATACAAACTTTCATCCCTCTTTTCACCCCCTTAATGGATAACTTCCGGAATAATAACTAATCAGTTCAGCAGATTTTTAGTCTATTCATTACAACCAAAAATACATTTTTTTCTCTTTAAACTCGTAATAATAAGTAGACATTTGGTGTACATGCAGCTACTAGCTTAGTCAGAGAGTTAGCAGACTGTCCGGCTCTTTATCTATCTTTTCTTTTCTTCTATTCAGGTATACTACGACTGTTTGTTGTTTGTGTGTAGTTCGCCTAGTGGTCGAAAGACCGTAATCATTATTTAAAAAAATTGAGAATAAAAAAAAACGGCTTCCATGCACTAAAACGTAAAAAATAACTGAACGCAGGTTTTCGTTTACGACAGAAACCTAATCAGATATTTTCGAAGTTGTGGAAATACGATATATCTAGTAGGAAAATACGACAAGGTATGCACTCGAAATTAAAGTAAAATATTATACATCAATTTGTGATGTTCAATAATTTATACGTATCGAGATAGTTTTGTTTTGCTTTGCATCCGTTGGCACCAACTCCGAAAATATTTGATTAGTTATCCATAGTAAATGAAAACCCCCGTTTAGTTATTTTTTACATTTTAGTGCTTGGAAGTTGTTTTTTTTTAAGTTTTTATTTTTCCATTTTTAGTGTAGACGTAATAAGCAGGTAATTTGTAAGAAGAAAGTTTTTATTAATAACATATTCGATTAAGCAGTTTATTAAAAAAAAATATTTATGTATTGTTGATTTTTTAAAAACCGCTCGTCCGATTTCAATAAAATTTAAATGGGACCACTTAGAAAGTAAGCCCTTCGAAACAAAAAAAAAATAATAAGTTCCAAATCTGTTCTAGCGTCTTCGAGTAATCGGTAAAAATACATTTAAAAAAAGATTCCGACGAAGTAAGTACTCCTCCTTTCAGGAAGTCGGTTAAAAAAGAGAACAAGTTGACAAAAGAACATAGTATTATGCAGTCGGAGACTTACATACTCAGAATAGCTTAGAATAGCTGCGTGTATGTATGTCTTCGACTGCATTATGCTATGTTCCTTGGTCAACTTGTTCTCTTCTTTTAAGTTCACTTTATAGGCAGTCGGATTTTTATATTTTTGTAAATATTATTTTATTAACAGCTTTTTAGTTTTGGTTACTTAGACATTTTTAGTTTTATTTAACATTAAATTAATTAAAAAACATATAAGTTGGATATATTTTTTTAATCGCCTCTTAAAAACCTGCAACTTGATATCCCACTCGATTGATTCGGATGAAAAAAAAATGTCAAGATCCAAAATTTGTGCCTAGGATCTGCCATTTTTATTTTCAATGATATCTATACACCCTATGATACTTGAATGACGAATCATCAAAATGGATTAAACCGTTTAGTAATTACGAGGGAACATAGAATCGGACAAACATACATATATACAGGTCAAATACATGATTCTGCTTTGGTCTTCGTACCACTCGGGTAAAAAGAAACTTCTAACATTTTATACACTTTTCGAAGCAGCATTAATTTTCTCTATTATTTTCCATTATTTTATCATGATTTACACAGTGGGCGTTATACGGGAAGTGTTGGTTCAAATAAAGGAAAGTCGTTGCAATCAAAGTTCCATTTCAAATTAACAATAATCACTTTGTACATAGTTACACAGCACTTCACTAACCATATAGCACTTCACTTCTCTATTACCACGTATAGAAAATACGGAACGCAAGACAGTTTCTACTAGTGTTCACTGTGCGACCGACCAAGCGTAACTCAGCCGAGCCCGGTCGAGTGTCACGACGTAGACTCTGTCGAGCCCAAAAAGATAGCGCTCGCGTTCCGATTAATTGTGATTATGACTCGTCTCCGACATACTTTTATAAATAAATATTTTTCAGAATCATGAAACTAAGTATGGATGGTAAAACAAAATCATTTGATAGTAATCCCGCTGGATGTTCTAAATCGGAGTCAATCAATGTCCTTTTCTTGCAAAAAGCTAAAGATGCACTAAGGTATGCTTCCATGTATACGTATTTGTTTATGTTTAGAAAATCAATAAAGAAATTAATGTTAACAAACAAATTTATCATTTTATCCATTTGTTTATGATTGAAAATAGTAAAAAAAAACAACTTACCATATATTTCAGGGTTTATGCAGAAGTTGTTTATATTAAAAGTGAGTTTACTCAACTAGAAGAAGATGAAAACTGTCCGAAATACGGTTTCTACAGAAATTCTACTATTTCGGCTGATTTTATAAAAAAATTCTATCAAGAAGCTGACGTTTCACCAGATGTCGTGGAATATGTTGAAGCAGTTGGTTCAGGTAAAATAGTACATAAATCTGCGTAACATAAATCCAATATTTTTATAGATAATTGAATTATAACATTTAATAATAATAATAATGAACACATTATTGCACACCACACAAGAAATAAATAAAGAAGTGAAATATATAACAAAAGCACAGCAGGCGGCCTTATCGCTAGAAGCGATCTCTTCCAGGCAACCTTAAGGTAGAGGAATCAGTATATAAAATGGTATGCGGTGTACTTGCATAAATACATACGTATATACCTACACAAACAGTATAATGGAAAAATAGAATCAATATGTTTATTTAAGTTATATATTTCAAATAAATAAATAGGTACTTATATTATATTAAGACAAACTAAAGAGATAAATAATGCGCTTTTAACATCGTCTTAAGCTTGTCCAAATTATTAGCCTGCCTGATGTGTACTAGTAAAGAGTTCCATAGACGTGCAGCTTTCACAGAAAAGGAGTTGGTAAGAAAACAAGAGGAGTGAGGAAGGTATTTTAAGGATAAGCGTTTCACTAGAATGCAGGGAAAGAGTATGAGAATCCCTTAGAAGCTCGAAACGGTCTTTGAGATAGGAAGGGGTAGAAGGATTAAACAACACGCAGAATAGATATGAATTCAAAAACAACAAATGAATTTGAAAACAATAAGAATAGATGTGAATTCGCCAGCGCAATTTTAGTAGGTACAGGCAGAAAATTTCTTAACCTGCGAAGGAGGAAACAGCTCCAAAGATCTTGCGGCTCAGTAAACTTATTTGTGGCCCCCAGGATAAATGCTAACAAATCTAACTTATCATATTCTTGAATTAATGAGTTTATGCGCGGGGGGCTCTTATTATAACCTATTAACATTTGAAGAGGACTCATACCAGTGCTTTTAGATACCGTACAATTTATTGCAAGTTGTATTTCACCTAGAATGATCGACTTATGTGCTGCGGTATGTCTGTCAATCCATTCCCATTTACAATCTTTTCTAGTCAAGTGATACAATGGGGTCATTATTGATGAAAAGTTAGGGATACATTTTCTAAAGTACCCCGCGAGTCCGTTAAATTGACGTAATTCTTTTATATTCCTAGGAAGCGGTGCATTAACAAGAGCATAAATTTTTTTGGATTAGGTTTTATAGTATCATTACAGACAACGTACCCTAGATACTCAATGGACTTTTACAGAAATTTACATTTTTTCCTGTTTAACGAAAAACCGGCGTCCGTCAACGCTTGTAAAACAGATTCTAAATTTTTAAAGGACTCTTCAATCGTTAAGAATGCTATCAATACATCGTCCATATATACCAAGGCTATTTTATCTGTGAGACCACCTAAAGCTTTATTTATGGCTCTTTGGTATACAGACGGTGCATTACACAGGCCAAAGGGCATTTTTAGAAATTCCCATAAACCGTCAGGGGTTATAAAAGCAGTTTTCTCTATGGAATTAGTTACAGCGGACATAGGTATCTGATAATACCCAGAGGTCATATCGAAAAAAGTATAGAACCTAGCTTGACCTAATGAATCTATCTGTTCTTCTATAAGTGGAAGGGGATAATTATCACGTATAGTGTTCGAATTAAGTTTCCTATAGTCAATGCAGAGGCGGTCTGAGCCGTCCTTCTTTTTCACGAGCAAAGCCAGACTGGAAAAAGGGGAAGCTTTCTCTAATAATACCCTTTGACTCGAGATCCCCTATAATTTCTCTCATTGCAGTGCGCTCAGACGTTGCCAACCGACATGGATGTCGTTGTTCTATCTTATCTGGATTTTTAAGTTTAATTACCATTTCACCCGTTTTAACCATAGTATTAGCGTTACCGGTAAGAAAACTACTTCTAAATTTTTCAATAATTGAGTTTAATTGTCTTATATGTGTAGAATCACTCAAATCAGCATCTATTTTATTATCATTATTCGATTCAAGGACAGAACATACAGCTTTATTACATTTACGAGATAAACGAACCCCCTCACTGTTCATAATTAATTCTAGACCGGGTATTTTAAAGATATCACGATATAACGTCGTACGGAATGGTGTCAGAGTCTACAATGATGAAACTTTTTTCAACGCGAATATCGCACAAATTAATAAAAACAGTTAGCTTGGTAAACGAATATGACGGTTGCGAGCCTATACCGCTTGATTTCGTAAAGACAAATTCACGTGTTCCTATCAAATGACGAGCTATGTTTTCACGTAATAATGAACACTCAGACCCAATATCAACTAAAGCATGAAACAAATAATCGTTAATTTTTATTTCAATTAATGATATATCGGAGGAAGAATAAACATTAACGTATTTCGTGCAATCTGAATCTATTTTAGAACCTTTAGTTTTATCCTCTTTTTGTTTAATAAAACATGTACGATCACTATGGCCTATTTTATTACAATGATTACGGCGAATGATTTTATCTGACATTGACTGAGGTATTTTTGGCAAATTGTTATTATCTTTAATCGGATTTTGATTTATTTTGTTAGTGTTACAGTTACGCCTCAAATGACCATATTTACCACAATTATAGCATACGCGATCGTTAGAATTCATAGATTTATTACTCGTATCATTTACTTTGCGACGTTTACATGTATTATCTACCCGCGACTTAAAAGATCGTTTTACATTCTTAACGCGAGGGTAGGTACACAAATGCCTGTCAAGTGCAACAAAATCTAAAGGTGTATTTTTTAATAAATCTGAACGTACCACCTGAACATCACTTATACCGGATATAAGTACCTCGATTTTGTTTGCTTCACTCCATCCCGTCTCAAGGCGGTCGATCATAGCCAGCTTGTGGGTAGAGTACTCGATGTAGGTAGCGGCTTTCTCGCTCGTGAACTCCACCATGTCCCGGAATAGGTGGTGGAACCTCTTTGTTGACGCGAACTGTCGAGAGAGACGCTCCTTGACATCGTTCCAGGTCTTGCACACCTAATATGATTGTGATGTCCACTTCTTAGCTCGCCCGCGTAGATTAATGAAGGCAGCATTCTTTGTTTCATAATCCGTCCAGGTATTCTGTCTTCTATGATTATCGATTTCTTCACACCATTGCTGGGCTGTAAACTCGCTCTCGTCAGACTCGTACGGCGGAAGAATCATCTCAGAGGAGTTCAATTTCTTTACTCAGGATGTAGATGGTTGAGCTTCTTTATGTTTAAAGTTGTTTAACATCGTTTGGAGGAATTCGGCCCACATATTGGTATTTGAGGTTAACGGTTCATGAGTTGGCGGTTGGGACCCCTCATCGGCCCTGAGTCGCGTTATCCATATGTGTCCGAAATAGTAGATGGAAGACCCATGATGAGAATCACAGGCGGATCCCACCGCTGCTGTAACGGATGCCGATGGATTCGATATTACGTTATCGCGATTCTCGTCCGCCATGGTCAGTGTGCTCGTGCGGCACAGTTGAGTGTTCACAATAAAGTGCGTTCACTCGCACTGCTGACTCACGTCATAAATTATGACCTATCAAACGCTATTGTCACGTTCCGTCATTCAACTACCCTCAGAATCGTGTATAAAATATCAAACATGGCAACACAAGTATTTTTTTATTAATTATTCTCTAATATATATATATATAACTATCCTCTCAAAAAAAAAAAGAAAATTAATTATACTTTTTATAGCTGTTACTGAAGCTGATAAATCAGAATTACAATCGATTGATGAAGTTTTTTGCAAAAATAGAAGTGATCCTCTAAAAGTGGGAAGTGTCATGTCTAACATTGGGTATACAGAAGCTGCTTCAGGGATATGCGCCATTACTAAAGTAAGCTTAAGAATTAAAAAGTAAAATTAAAGTATTACTCATTTTTAGTCATTATTGAGAAATTTTGTATTTAAAAAAAATAGGTTCTCCTGGCTTATCATACTGGAAAGATCGCAGCGAATTTAAATTGTGATTCACCGCGACAAGATGTTGCAGCACTCCGTGATGGTCGAATGTGCATCGTCACAGATCACATGGACTTCAACCACTCATATACAGCTGTAAACGGCCTGTCGGTTACAGGCGTCAACTCGCACATCTTGCTAAAAGGCCATTATAAGCAAAAGGTATATTATGTCACCTCACTTTTAATTTTAATGATTCTTTCCAAAATACCTCACAGATAGTAACTCTGTCTTATTGGCTATCAATTTACGTATTCAATTTTTAATATGCTGATTTAATTATTAATATGCTAAAAAAATCGACGACTTCATATGTAAATAACATAAAAAATATTATACTTATTCCGTTATTTACAAAGAAATTTATCCTATCGTATTCCATATTTCTTTGAATATGCATAAGTTGTAAGGAAAATAAACTTATCATAATATACCAGCTATTTTGCAGGTTTCGTTGTACTTGATATGGTATGATTATTGGTTAAGATGCGTCTTATATCCATTGCAAATAAAGTAGCAGGAATTTGCTCATAATTAATGGAGAAAAATAACGTTTAATTTATTATAGTTCTCTTATAGAAACATTTTGAATGCAAATTTTTTAAAAAATAATGTTTGCGTATATTAATAATTAATAATGTAATTCTATAGTTTATTATTCCGTTTAAGGATCTATCTCGTTACAAGGCTACTATTCCACAATTAGTGACACTCTCAGGAAGACAAGAATCATCAGTAATAAAAATAATGAACGAATTAAAAACACGTCCCGTTGATCCCGAGGAGTTAGCTTTACTTCGAAATATTCACAAAAGTAGAATTTTAGGACACTTAGGTAGAGGATACACGGTCCTTGGTAAGTTATATTAACATTATTTTTAATAACTGGCTTTTATTCAATAATTCCTTGACTATTATATATTAATCATTATTTATTAATCATTAGTTATTAATCATTATATCTCTTTATACTTAAGATACAAATGAGGAAGGTAAAACAGTTAGTTTATGTGAAAAATGTGACTACTTCGATGATCTCAAGCGACCACTTTGGTTCATGTACAGTGGAATGGGATCTCAATGGGCAGGAATGGGAACAGAACTTATGCGCATATCAGTTTTTGCTGCAGCTATCGAACGGTAAATAAAACATTACATAAAAAAATAATACATTTTATACAACAAACTAAAATTACAAAAAATAATAAATGAATTTATTTATATGTTACAGTTGTCGTCGAGCTCTTGAACCTAAAGGAATTGATATAGTACATATCATAACTTCCACAGAAAAAACAATATTTGATAATATTTTACATTGCTTTGTTGGAATCGCAGCAATTCAAATAGGGCTTACCGATGTTTTAAGAGAATTGGAGATTTTCCCTGATATGATTATAGGTATTTAATATTCTAGTATTATATTTCCAGATAAACTTTTTAATTCTTAAGATATAACTGATGATGACCTAAATACCTGATAATATAAATTTTAGATGAACTTCGAGAGTTAATCTAAAATTTATATTATTTTAATTTTTTAACAGGACACAGTGTGGGAGAATTAGGATGTGCCTACGCTGATGGTTGTTTCACAGCTGAAGAGATGATTTTATCTGCTTATAGTCGTGGTCTAGTATGTTTGCAAACACCATTCATAAAAGGATCAATGGCTGCCGTCGGCGTTGGATACCAACAGGTAAAAATAACGATATTAAAGACTATTATTTTAAAATTAACACCTCCAGGTAAATTTCTAAAAAAATTATTATAATTCTAAGAAATCTATTGTTAACTGACACGACGGCGTGTCCGCGGTCGTGGAGGGATTAATATTCCAATATTTTTTAATACTTATATTTTATATTTATATTAATATTTCTTTGTTAAAGATACTTAAAATGTGCCCTCCAGAAATAGAAGTAGCATGCCATAACGGTCCTGACTCGAGTACTATCTCAGGACCAGCGAGTGTAATGGAAGAATTTGTAGTCCAATTAACTTCCAAAGGTATTTTCGCTAAGGAGGTGCCATGCTCAAATATTGCATATCACTCGCGCTATATTGCTGAAGCAGGTAAAGTATGCAAATTATAATAACTTATTTATTTACATACATACAAATATGTAAATATTTACTTTCAAATAAATATGAGTTAATCATTTTTGAAGGTCCCGGCCTACTTAAATATTTATCTGAAATCATCAAATCTCCAAAGCCTCGTAGTGAAAAATGGGTATCAACTTCGGTACCAAAAGAAAGATGGGGAGAAGAAATTGCTAAGTATTCTTCAGCTGAGTATCATACAAATAATTTATTGGTTAGTAATATTCTGTATTAGGAAAAATTTACTTTCAATTATGATAAAATAAAAAGAATTTGAATTATGGAAAAAAACTAGCGGCTTACCCTTGCTTAGCTCGGGTTCGCCTCTATAAAAGCACAAACAGATCTATCCCACGGGAACCATTCATTTTTCCGGGGTAAAAGTAATCTGTGATTTGACCGGCAATATAAGGTATCAGCATGGCAAATTTTACTAAATTAGGTGCATAAGTTGTTGTGTACTAAGCTGTGTAATTTACTACATTTTTTTATTATACCACAGTAATTCTTTAATTTTCTGGGATGAAAAGTATCTAAAATATTGACCGAGAATATAAGGTACCACCGAGCAAAATTTCATTTAAATCGGTCCAACAGTTTTGTACAAACAGACAAACACAGACAGAGAAACAAAAAAATAAAAAAAAAACTGGATTTGTTCTATTTCTCTTCTTACATCCCCTGACTCGGTTTTTAACATTTTTTTTCTATGTAGAGACATTCAACCTCTACAGTTTTATTATATGTATAGATGATAAATTAAAAAAAAATATTGCCTAACATAAAGCGATAAGCTATAACAATTAAGCTTTACATTAAGTTTTATATTATTAACATATAAAAAATATTAATGGCAGAATTCGGTGCTTTTTGAGGAGACGTCACGGTTAATCCCAGCTAATGCAGTGGTGATCGAGATCGCACCACATGGTTTGTTACAAGCGATCGTCAAGCGGTCGCTACCTGATTCATGTCGGCACATACCACTTACTAGGCGTGGACACGTGGACAATGCTCAATTCTTGCTAGAAGCTGTAGGAAAGTTAGTTACATTATTTAATTTTTAATAAAATGTATTTGATGTCGATAGTATGTCAGGTATTATTATTTAATTAATATATATTTCACAGACTTTATATGGAAGGACTTAATCCTAAAGTGGAAGCTCTGTATCCTAAAATCGAGTATCCTGTTTCGACTGGAACACCAATGCTGTCACATTTAGTGGAATGGGCTCATAATGAAAAATGGTAAATATTTTATTTAATTTATTATTAAATTAATGTTTTGTGAACCAGTCTAATGATTAATGACAACTACCAGTAGTAGTTCTAATTTGTATTACAAAGTCGAATTATGTTTAACTTAGCTTTTAGTATTATGAAAATTTATATAGTTATTTTTTCATATATGTATATGTGTGTATATATTACCAGCCAAACCCGATTTCAGGCCAAACTAGTGATTCTGAGGTATTATTCGGCTGCAGTTTACATAGTATATTGGACGCGCCCTCTGGAGGAGTGGGTGGTATTATTATATGACAAACCCGACTTGGATAACGTAGGTGGAGAAGGCTCACAAAGGCTAGTGAAGCGTAGCGTAGTTCCCACTTAAGCCTTCTCGTTAGGTCTTTTTTTCAAATTTTAAACCCAGAACCTTCAATACCACAAGTGCTATAATAAAATAATGAAAGTAATTTTTAGGGTCAAACTAAAATTAAAAATGAGCTTTTTGTGCTACTTAGGGTTCCATCGTGTTTATTTTGTTACTTGCAACGATTCAGTCATTTCGGCCTAGGCAAAACTAGTTAAGCCATAACTAATTAAGTTATTTAGGCCAAACTAGTTGTCCCGGTCTAAACTAGTATATTCTGACATACTTAGGATGAGTCGCTTTGGCTTAGGACAAACTAATTTGTCCTGAAATCGGGTTTGGCGGGTAACATAAATTAGATAGATATAATATTATTATGTATACTGCACTGATAATATCTTTAAACTTTCATAAGTACTGACGTAATTTATATACAGGGAGTACTTAGCACGTTTTAGAATATATTTTAAATGTTTATTATATAATACAATAAACAAAATATATGTTACAGGACTTTACCTTTGTTTACATCAGCGCATAAAAAAATAGCTGCCGCTACAAAATTTGTGATATCCACGTATGATGACGATCACGCATATTTAAAAGGCCATGTCATAAGAGGTGATAATATAAAAATTTTATTCCCTTTTTTAAATATCGTAATTTGAAACTCCTGTTAATAATAATAGTAACTGGGCTACCGAGATTTGCTCGGAGGTTTTAACCTAAAGTACAATTTTCTTTTTTTTAAACTAAAAACTTGAATTAATATTAAAAAAAAACAAAAGTAAAAACTTTGTATGCGACCGAGATTGGAACCTCCACATCTGTAATTATTGATTTTGCACCTTAGCCGCTTGACCACGATGCTTATACCAGAGCGTACAAATTATCGACCATATTTTGCGTGGAATAATGCAAAAGAAAACTGCATGAGAACTCGAAAACACGCGTTTTCTCAGACATAATACTAATCTAGATCGATTTATCGCCGCCTAACCCCTGTATACTAAATTTCATGAAAATCGTTGCAGCCGTTTCCGAGATCTACATTATATATATATATGTATATATATGTATATGTATATATATATATATATATATATATGTATATATATATATATATATATATGTATATATATATATATATATATGTATACAAGAATTGCTCGTTTAAATATATTAGATAATATTTTTATTTGTGTGAATAATAACATTAATTTTTAATTTTAGAAAAGAACTTATATCCATTTTCTGGAGCACTTGTAGGAGTTTGGGACACATTGGCAATGGCTTTAGGAGTAGAGAAGAAACAGCTGTCAGTCCAATTTACTGATATACACTTCTTTACACAACCAATTCTTCATAAACAGCGAAACTTGCGTTTAAACATAGCTTTACATAAAGGAAATGGCTGTTTTGAAGTAAGCTTATCTAATGATTTAAAAATCGTTCAATTGATTTACATATGTTATGGTTCTTCTAAATAACTTAGTATATTAATAATGTATAATTTTCTTATAATTTAGGTATTAGATGAAAGTACTACAATCATAACAGGTTATATAACTGGAGAGCTAAAAAAAGACAAACAAGACAAAGTTAATTTAAATTGTAAGGAAGAAATGCAACTTAAATCAGATGATATTTATAAACTCTTTTCTATAAGGGATTATAATTATTCGTAAGTAACCTAGCATATTAAAGAAATATTTTAAAATTGCACAACAGCTTCTTTTTTTTTTAACTTAAATTTACAGGGGTGTATTTCGCAGTATTTACAATGCTAGTTTGTCGTTATCTGAAGCTAATATAAAATGGGAAGACAATTGGGTGGCCATGCTTGACAGTATGCTCCAATTAAATGCGCTCAGAAGAATTCATGAAACAGTTTCTCACCCACATTTTATAAGAAAAATAATAATTGACGTAAATGAGCATTTTGATGAAATGTATGAAATAGATGGAATAAAACTTACACCTGCGAGGATATTTGATGTTCATGATTATACGAGGTATGATATGATATACATACATTTTTATGGGTATGATTCTTTATTTTGCATTCCTTAGGTTTAGGTTTAAAGAATTTTATTATCAACAAAGACAAATATTGTCACTTATGTGATAACATAAATTAAAGTAGTTACGTATAGTTCATCGTTGTTGCCATATATGTACTATTATTATAATGTAGGGGAGAGGGGGGCAGTTTAGTACAGAGGCAGTTTTGAATTGTTTGTTTTATGAACGGATCCTTTATCATTCCTAACCTCTGAAACCATTTTAATACTGGTAAAACCGACCTACACATCTGTCAGTTTCCAGCTAAGGTCAATGTCAGTGTAGTTTTGAATATCATTCGCCGGTTTGTTTACGAAGACCAGAGTAAATAATTTTTTTTTTTTGTAAGCAAATTACTGAAAAGGTAAGTATTATTTTCAAGTTATTATTATTTTATTGCGTTGTATATATTATATCCCGAGTATTTATATATATATAGTATTTATATATATAAGTAAGTTTTTCGTTCAGAGATGTTTATTTATGCAAAATGGTGTTAGGGCAGATTTGAACAAAATTGCTGGGGCACTTTTGAATAAAATGTTCAAAGGTACCTAACCAAGTAAATATCATGAGATTTCTAAATTTTTAATTGCTTTCTTGTTTCAGTCATCATGGTTAGAAATTACAAAAAGAAAAAAGAAAATTCTGTGAATGAAGACGATGCTGAAAGAGCTGTATTATGTGTTGTCAACAATGGCATGAAGCTTAAAACTGCGGCTGCTATATATAACATAAAACCAACTACTTTATACAACAGAGTTAAAATTTTTAAAGAGAATATTACTCTAAAAATTAAAGAATATAGTAGCAAACACACAGTTTATCAAGTTTTTACAAATGATGAGGAATATATGCTGGAAAAGTATTTCTTAAGAATGTCTAAAATGAACTACGGCTTGACCTACGTGCAAGGGAGAGAGAGAATTGGCATACCAATATGCTAATGTCTTAGAAAAGTGCCCTGAGACGCGAATAAACAATAAGATTATTGTATTGAACGGATGCGAGTATTGAATGGATGAAAGGATTTATGAAGAGGCATTAATTTTATCATTACGAAAACCCGGAAATACAAGCTTTTCTAGACAACAGACATAACGTTATGATGTTTCATAATAACTATGAAAAATTACGAGGAAATTTTACTCCAGCTCGCATTTATAACTTGGACGTACATGTATGTTCCTAAGACTCTTATGTTATATTTTTAAGATAGGATTCATAAGATAAAGGTACCTTTATGAGATTTTTTTGCAATATTGATATTGATCTTTTTTATAACTTGTTAGTTAGTTTAATCTTATTCAAGATTACCCCAGACTGTTTAGTGTTTTATACAATTTATTTAAGTAATAACTAGTGTAGGTATAAATGGCTATGTTCAATAAATAAAATGTAAGATGCAAATAACTTAAATATAGTCTTAATTATATTCTAAGATACGTGGTTTTTATTTTATCCTGGTTTTACAATACTAGGGGTTTCAAATGTGCCTCGCGGATGGGGCAGATTTGAAGGAAATATGGTTATTTAAAAATGGAAATTGCATTAATTTGATGGGTCAAAATAAATAAATATCATTTTTATTATTTACTATAAACCCCATATCTATTTATAAAATATAATACATTTTGATTTTTAATACCATATGGGAAATATAATTTAATAACTAAAAAGTGTTCAAAGGTGCCCCCCTCTTCCCTAGGTAGGTATACTTAAAGACATTACAAGCGAAAACAAAACAAAAAGCAAATACAATTATCTTCAATTTTGTCCCGCCTCATACATTCAAATCAATTTTATGATGAGTAAAATTAGCATTTCTGATTAATAATATTTTTTCACTTCTTCATTTGTAAATGTATGTAGTAATGTGTTGCTTAATAATTTGTTTTTAAATAATAGCAAATTTAAATTAAAATTATTATTTTTTAATTAATCTTAACTTTTTCAAATTACACATAGATCAATTGTGGCTTAAATAATTAATACTATATTTTATATTTTTCTTATGGTTATAAATATAATAATGGCAACACTAAATATAGATTGCTAATTAATATTTTAAAATTGTAATAATTATAAAAATAATAGCAAAAATTAAATAAATAATTTTCCATATTCAATTATAATTAAAACTATAAAAATATTTAAAGTTAAAATATTGTAATGTAATTGGTGTAATTTTCATTTTGTTAATTGTGGGTAGGCTGTCTGTAACAACTATATCTTTAAGACATGTAACACCTCAGTCTCTCCCGTGACCATGGATGCTGTAAAGCATTCGAAACGTCGGGAAACAAAAATACAAATAAATCCGCGACAAAATCCGAAAAGATAGTTTTATTTAAAATGTCGAATATTCGCGTAAATCTAAGAAAGTATTAAAATTAGTTATTGTTCAATAAATGATCGGATAATTGTTTTTTTTTAATGCATGAAATGAGTTAACATTTTTTATATGTGAGGGTATACTGTTATACAGCCGCGCTCCGTTGACTGTTAACATTGTTTTGCCGTATGACGTGCGATGTTTCGGTATGATTTGGTAGCTAGCCCGTCGACTGCTACGCTCGGAAACTTGTTTTTGTTTAGTGAACGAAAGATTAGTTTGGATAGTCCTATTAAAATATTTTCGAATAAAAATGCAGATATTGTATTTGTATAAATTTTCTATGATCATTAATTTAGTTTTTTCATATATTTAACCCAAGAGTAACACTAAGTTCTTTCTACAATCTTTTTCGGTGTATGCCGCATTGCTCTGGAACAAACTTCCGAAAGACATCCAATTAAGTCCCTCTATAACTTTAAACCTTTAAAAAGAAAGTAAAACAGCACCTTCTCACCCAAGTTATTCCACAATAATTATATGAACTACTATTATTATGCATAGACATGTATTTGTGTATGTAGTAGTATGTACATATATTATGGTATATAATATGGATCATGTTTTATTATATTAAGTATTTATATTTGAGTAACTGCACTTTAGCCTGCTTTTTAATAATATCTCTCTAGCTCACTTAGGTTGACTGGCAGAGATCTCTTCTAGAGATTAGTCCACCTTTGCTAACTAATTTTATTGTTTGTTAGTCTCTGTATTTTACATATAAGTGCAATAAAGAATAGTTAGTATATATTTTGGTAGTTGGCGTTAGGGAGTGGTAATAAAAAAGTAATTTTATTCTTTTATTTTGTTGGCCTTGTAATTTGTTTAATCAAGTTTTGGCTGAGGTTTCCCATATCTCGATAAATAATAGCAGGTGTGGTTTAACTAAAGAATTGTAAATTGTATATCTTAAGGTATGAATGATGCATTTTGTAATATTACACAGTGAGCCGCGCAGTGATATTAATTTTGTTATAATTTTCTTTAGATGGGTATTCCAATTTAGTTGACTGTCAATGTGAAAACCGAGATACTTTTTCGTGAGCTTTCTGTTCAATGGGTTCACCATTGATTGTAAGAGGAGAAAATGTGGGTATTGGTTTATTTTTGGCTTAAAAAATGATATAGCATATTTTCGATATGTTAATGGTTAATAAGTTATATTGGAACAAGTTATATAAAATGTTAGGATCCTCCTAAGCTTTAGATATTAAGTCGTGAATGGAAGTTCCGAAATAAAACAAGGACGTGTCGTCTGCGTACAAAGTAATATGACCATGTAACCTCAGCTCAAAGATATTATTTATATATGTAACAAACAGGAGAGGCCCGAGTATTGAACCCTGTGGGATTCCGCAGGTAATAGATAATGCATTACTTTGGGTTTTGTCCGACTTTACTATTTGGGTTCTACCTGTGAGATATGATTCAAATATTTTTAGTGGTCTGCCAGTGACACCTATGGACTGTAGCTTCTTCAAAAGTAGCTGATGACTAACTGTGTCAAAGGCCGTTTTGTGGTCGATAAAAATACCTAAAGATTCTTTTGGTCAATATTTTGTTTTAATTTGGTGACAAGGTCAATGGTAGCCGTAGTTGTATTACTTCTGGGCCTAAAACCGTACTGACTGTTAGAAATAAATTTAATTAAGTGTAAATAATTTTGTAGCCTTGTGTGTAAGACTTTTTCTAAAATTTTTGACAGTACTGGGAGTACCGATATGGGTCTATAGTTACTTGGGTCTGTATTGGATCCCGATTTATAGATAGGTGTAACCTTGGACATTTTTAATGTATTTGTAAATATACCGTCACATATTAGCCCGTTGAAACATTTAGTTAGTTTGTTATATATCAAATTTCTTATAGATTAAATAGCTTTGGTACTTATGCCATCTAAACCAACACTAGAATTCGAGTCCAGTTTAACAATTATATTTAAGACTAGCATAGCCGCTTTCAGATGACCAAAAACGAAATTGTTAGGTTTTACATATTAGTATACTCTTACATTGCAGTTTTTGTATTTTTTCTCAGAAATGAGATATTTTCGCGCGGTAAAAAGTATCCTATTTGTTGACCCGGATAACCAACTATCACCATACCAAATTTTATCAAAATCCCTCCAGTGGATTTTCCGTGATGCGGTAACAGACAGACAGACAGAAAGACAGACAAAAATTCTAAAAATTATAGATTCGGCCTCTGTATCGATAATAATGTCTATTTCAATATGATTTTCCAAAAAATATTTAATGTACAGAATCGGCTTAGTTAGAATTTTATTATATGTATAGATTTTTATTTAGCTCAAATGATGAGATACAATTTTTGGTGGGGTAATTTGCGGCATAGCATGATGGAAATTGTCATGGTAATGATTAGGTATACATTCAGCCAGCTCAGGCCCAATATTCACGAAATATTCATTAAATATTTGACATATACTATAAGGATCTGTCACTACTTGAGAATCAATTTCAAGTTTAGTGGGAAAACCATTGCAAGTAAATTTATTAGCCGCTAGAGTATTAATTAAGGTCCATATTTTCTTTGGTTTGTTACAACATTTAGTAAATTCTTTATAGTGGTATCGATCTCTTGTCTCTTGAATTAATTTAGCTACATGTTGTCTTTTCTTGATGAAATCTTCCTTCAATGACTCTTCATGTGTATTTTCCTTATGTAATATTTCCTATATATCCTATATATATTCCTTCTGGTAATCTTTCTGTAGTGGATTTAGGATTTTGGTTTTCCGTACTTTGCTAATATCTACGCATAGCTTGATCTCATTTTCAAGTTATATGTAGTCGCTATTGGTTAGTTTTGATAACTCTTGTTCAACGTGATCATAGAATTTGCAATAATCTATAGCTTCATACTGGTAATATGTTTTTGGAGGTGGTTTAGTTTTATTTATTTCTACATATATTTGCCTATGGTCGGATAGTGGAGAATTTATGAGTATCATATTAAAAGTGTCTTCGGTTAAGTTAGTGCTCACATGATCCAGTATTGATTTTCTTGTTTCACCTTCTCTTGTACAATAGAACGTCTTAACTTTATTAATAATTTTGTGACCAGCTCCCTTTAGAACCTCTTTGTATCTCTTAAATTTTCGATCTTTGTTCAACAAATCTATATTAAAGTCTCCAAATACTATTGCTCTACGTCTTGATTCTAGTTGTGACTCATACTCTTTAAAAAAAAAATCGTTGATATTCCCAGGATTATAGATAACTTCTACTTCCAGGCCATATTTTTTCCAATTTTATCCATAAATAATTGTTTCCTCCGACGTATTTGCTGTCCGGTAAACTATATTTTAGATTTTTATGGATGTATGCGGACACTCCACCGCCCATTGTATCATTCCGAATATTGTAGTGATGAGTGTAGTTGGAAAGCTGAAGCCGCAATGTTTGTCTTTCTGTACTTATATCAATATTCATATGATAATATTTGTTCTAGATGCGGTGGTATAATCATGCAAAATATAAGATTTCATGATTTGCCAACTGTCTGTAAAAATGTTGGACTAAAAACCCTAAAATTTATTCCACACTTTTCTACAAACGCCATCGATGTATGTATAATAATATTATTTGTTTATGAACACAGGTGCATTTTCAATGAGAATTATAAATATTATGTTATTTTTCAGAAAGCGTCAGCACTCTCTACTTATATACAAATATGTGCTGAAAATTTAAATAAACACGATCTAAATATTATAGAAATTATCGAAAATAGTGGCTCTGGATTTGTTGATACTAATCAAATTCTCTCAGAAATTCCTGGAATACAGGCAAATTATTCAGTAATTACAAGAGATAGTCTTAAAACAAATAATATTGCTTCATTGGGTGAAATGGATTTGCTGTTAGTGTTAAATCTATCAAATAATGATGATGTAAGTTGGCATTATATTTTTGTATCAACAACGTCTCGCTTTGGCGCCACACATAGATTTAGACAAACAAAATTATTGTAAAAATTTCTCTCTTGAGACCCTGCATCTATATTATTGTCAGCCTACAGGAAACATACAGACACGTATTGGTCATACAGTCACTTTGTCGCTGTTCCAAATGAGAAAATTAAATATTTTTTTTTATATTTTCATATTTTACAGAGTGGCAACTTTTTTGAGGCTAACGCTGTTTATTATCCATGTCTATGGCTATATTTATTATACGTAATATTTTACTGCCTCGGTAGTGTGGTGGCTAGCATGTACGGCTGCACACCCGAAGGTCCTGGGTTCGAGTCCCGGCTCGGGCCAAGTTTAGTTATTGAGTCTTTCTGTATAAGTAAGCCTCAGTAACAGCCCGGAGATAGGAAGTTGGCGGTGTTTCACCCCCGTGCCTCGGAGAGCACGTAAAGCCGTCGGTCCTGCGCCTTAACTCTCACCGGTCGTGTCGAGTGGTCGTCCCACCGGAGTATGAGAGTGACAGGAATAGAGAGTGCACTTGTGTCTGCGCGTACACTTGTTAACTATAATATCTCCTGCGCATTTCCTCCTGCTATTCTCAATGAGATTGGCCGCCGTGGCCGGAATCGGTCAGGAGAACATCACTTAATATTATCATTTTAATGTCTATTAATTGTTGGTTTTGCACTATTCCACAGTTATGTCAAATGCTACACCAAGTTCTTAGATGCAATACTTTTGTGATTAACTATGAGAAGTATAAAGCAGAAATTTCGAGGGATCGTCCATCATCCCTGTACCAAAGTATTTGTGCACATACAATAGGATCAACAGTTATAGAACTAGTGTTGTGGCGTCCCACTGATTCAAATGTTGCCACTAGTGCTGTAACGGCTTACACCGAATCTGATTTTGCTCTACTTACTTCAAGAATAACAGCAATACAATTAAATCAAAAGCTTGTGATATTAACCTCGTATCCTCCATTAGCTTCTTTAAAAACAGCAGTAAAGAAATGGAGAAAAGAGGATAACCGCAAAATTAATCTAATCATGATCAATGAGTTTTGCAGTTTCCCGAATCTGAATAAAATACCACTTACTGATTTAGCCGTTAATATTATGCATAAAGTAAGTTTCATTATTCGTTAGATATATCCCACAACATAATATATTATCTATACAGATAAATGAAATTGAAGTGTCTGTTTGTAATATTGAAATAAAAGCTTTTTACTAAACATATATGAAATTATATACGGTACTCATAAGAAAAACACAATTTTATAAATTTTTGCCTGTTTGTTGGTTTCGGCTAATATCCGAACGACTGAGTTTTCACTCGCAGATAGCTGATGTTGTAAGGAGTAACTTTGGCTACTTCAGACTACAGCATTAGTAGTCGATTATTTTTATTTGTTTATGACATTTCAGATACGCTAGTAAAACGTATAGAAATTATAATTAAGTACTTCTTGTCTTATTTCTTGTTATGATAGAAATGCAATGCATTTAACAATTCTCAAATAAACTATTTAAGGGCGCCTGGGGCGGAGAATACTACTTACCTGCAAAGGAAATTTCATGCAAAGAAGGTTTCGGATTAGAGCTTAATATAAGACAGTTAGGTGACCTAGACTCCTTGCATTGGACAGAATTGCCGGAGCCTAGAGGCATGGGCATAAATGTAAAGGTAAAATCAAATACATTTTGTTACACAAAAAATATTTATCTTATAGCAATATAAACATTGATCAATATATTTCAGGTTCATTTTGCTGGAGTAAATATTGTTGAAGTACAGAACAAAATGGGAGTTATTTCATGCGATAAAGAAGACATGCAACTTTTCGATTTTAGTGGAACTACTGATAGGTAAATATTTTTTTATGAACGATAAACCTAGTTTTATATGACTGGTAGGTACTATTTACTAGCTCTTTGTCGTTTCAATAGCGGAGCTCGTGTAATGGGAATTGCGAATTATGAATCTATAAGAACACATGTAAGCGTAAAACCGGAATATCTGTGGCCTGTGCCGGCACACTGGACTATGGAAGATGCAGCTACAGTTCCATTGGCCTACTGTCTCGCTCTTTATTGCTTGGTACCAAATTTCATTAAATATATTTATATCCCATATAATATTAATTTTCAGTGAATTTTATCTTTTAATTTTATATTTGCGCACAGTGTTTTAAGGCAAAGTTTAAGCCTGGAATAACAATTTTGGTACATGGAGGTGCTGGGGCTCTTGGCCAGGCAGTTATATCGATTGCTTTGGCATATGGCTGCAACGTTTTCACTACTGTTAGCGATATCAACAAAAAGAGATTCCTGCGAAAACTCTTCCCAGAGCTTAAAGGTATGATTGATTGGCCATTGATGCTCTTCAAGATAATTTTATGAAGATAGGAGAATTCTCTAAATACAATCAATAATTTTCGTATTTCAGAAAGTCACATTGGAAATTCACGTGATATAAGTTTCGGAGATATGGTGCTACACACTACAAAGGGTGAGGGTTGTAATTTAATCATAAGCTGTGTTAAAGGAGCCCTTAAAAATGTAAGTATATGTGAAATGTATAAAAGCACTAGTAGTATTGTAGTTTAAAGAAAGTTTTGATAAAGATATTTGGATATCTGTTTATCATAACTATTAAATGAATTTGGACGATGCTTCCTATACAGGTATAATATTATATTTACCATAATATTTTTATACAATTTACCATAACACTTACTGTTTTTATTTATAGTTATTTTGCAATAAATCGTGTTCAATTAAGTGAGCAAAGTGACACAAGAAAGTTTTAATATTTGTAAAAGCAGTGGTGATAAGTTATCTTCTTTGTACAAAAACTTATTAAATATACTAGATTTTGTCCAGTGGTCGAAATTTGAACATAATTACTGTTGAAGCAATGTATCATGTAGATATTAAATCAAAACAGACCAGTACTATTTTATATATTTAATTTATAACTTTCGAACACAGAAATACTTATACAACGCCATGACAGGAAAAGTAATTATTAAGAACAGTAGGAGTGAGGAAATAGATGGCGCTATATATAGAATAAAAAGATTATGATATTTACCACAGATTACAACACGCCTCCTTAAATTTTAATGTTGATCTTTTACTTATACGATACATACCAATTACCAAAATGTTATAAACATATTTTACTTATCAAACTCTTATAAACATATCCTGTGTATACTAAATTAATCTTAATCCTCATCTATTTCTAAAAAATGTGGTTTTATTTAAACTTTTAGTTAACATATCTGCTAAATTAAATTTTGAATCAATTTTTACAATATTAATTATACCTTTTTCATAATTTTCATTTACATAATGATACTGCACTTCGATGTGCTTTGAATTCTTTGTAAAATTCCCATATTTAGCAATCGACACTGCACCTGAATTATCTTCATATAATTTTATTGGTTTATCAAATTTTACATTGAATGATTAACTTAACAAGTTTCTAATGAAAACTACTTCTGTCACTGCTTCTGACAAAGCAATATATTCTGCAAAAGTTGAACACTTAGTTACTGTACTCTGTTTATGTGTCTGTACTGTGTTTTCCAAAAAATTAAGTTATCATATAATCTAATTATAAAACCTGTTGTAGACTTTCTATCTATATTATCTCCTGCATAGTCAGAGTCTACCATACAATCTAATATTTCAGTATTTACATTATCATAGTACGTTAACTTTTAGTCCTTAGTCTTATACAAATATTTTAAGATTCTCATTGCATATTTATAATGTGTACGATCATAACAACTTTGATATCGACTTACGTAGTTTACACTGTACGCTATATCTGGCCTAGTGCCTGTACTAATATACAATAATTCACCTATTATATTTCTATACTTTATACTATCATCTACTTCTCTAGCTTGTTCTAATTTTAAGTTTGTTTCCATAGGAGTATCATATAACCTAGTATTTTCCAGATTATATTTTATAGCCAAAGATTCAATATATTTTGTTTGACTTAATGTCATTCTTTTTCTATCATCACTATAATCAATATCTATGCCAATATAACTTTTAATTTTGCCTAGATCTTTCATTTCGAATCTCTCCATTAAACTACTTTTTACCTCTTTTATTTTATCTTTATCTTTACAACAAATTAAGACATCATCAACGAATATTAGTATATATATATATTGGATCTTTGCTTGTATTATTTACATATAAACAGAAATCGTAGTTACTTCTAACAAAATTCAATTTTTCAATACATGTGTTGAAACAATCATACCATACTTTAGGGCTTTCTCCAAGACCATAGAGTGCCTTTTGCAATTTGTAAACTTTATTATATCAAGTTTCATAACCTTTCGGTTGATTTATAAATACTTCTGACTTTACATAACTATTTAAAAATGCTGTCTCAACATCCATTTGTTCTATGAATAAATTATTTTTACAACTGTATGGTAATAAAATTTTCAATGTTTGCATTTTTCCTACTAGTAAATAAACATTTTCAATATATTCCTTTTGCTGGAATCCTCGTACAACTAACCTAGCTTTATAAACATTATTACTTTTCTTTTTAAAGACCCACTTGAAATCAATTACCTTTTTATCTTTTGGCCGTTCAACGATTTGCCATGTGTTATTTTTAATTAAGCTATTTATTTCAGAGTCCATCGCTATTTGCTATTGTTTGTAATCATGGGAGTTCATCGCCTCCTCAAATGTATTAGGTACATTAGCATCAATGTAATTTACATAAATAAAATGTGATACTGGATTACCATATCTAGAAATTGGAGTTACCGTTCTTTTTAACCTTTTGTTTATTAAAAGCTTGTCCCTATTGCTACTTAAATTATCATCACTAACAAGATCTTTCACAGCATTATTAGAACTTGTTTCATTAAAATCTACATAGCCTTCATTACTGTCAGTTTAAAATATTTCATTTTTTATACTTGAAGTTTTGTTATTTTCCCAATCCCTATCCTTTTCATCATCAAGTTTTTCTAAACAAATTAATTGAGTATTTTCTTCGACTACCTGTACATGTCTGGCGTTAATTATTCTATTATTTAACAAAACTCTATAACCATTTTCATTATAACCTACTAACACTCCTAGTTGGGCTTTATCATCCCATTTACTTTTTCTTAAAACTTCTGGAACCCTAACATAAACTCTACTTCCATAAATCTTTAAATGATACATTTGATTTAATACCAAAAAATATTTCATATGGGGTTTTATTCTCTACTGTATTAGCAATTGTACGATTTTTTAAGTATGCTGCTGTTTTTATAACTTCAGGCCAATATCTTCTGTGAATTTTAGCTTCTTTCATTAAACATCTACCTATATCCATAGCAGATCTATTTTATCTTTCTGCTACTCCATTTAATTCATGAACGTACGGTGGACATGGTAATAACTTTATTGCAGTACAATTTGCAGTTTCTGCTTTACTTTTAATACAAAAAATTCTTGTACATTTACTATAATCATCGATAAATGTCAAAAAATTTTTTCACCGCCATAACCCGTTGTGTGGGCCGTTTAAATCAGTATGAATCAATTCTAAAATTTCAGTAGTCTTGGTTCTATTATTTTCAAAAGGTACATTAGCCATTTTACTTTCAATACAATTTGAACATTTCATTTCTGTGCTTTCAATTTTATCTGGCAAACCTTCTACTAATTTATTATTTATTAATTTGTTTAAATATTGAAAATTTACACGACCAAGCGCCCTATGCCATTTCTCTTTATTAGTTAATTTTATTGTATTTACATAAATATCATTGTTATCAATGCTTAAAACAAAACTTTTCAACCGACTTCAAAAAGGAGGAGCTTCTCAATTCGACTGTATGTTTTTTTTTATGTTTGTTACCTCAGAACTCCGTCATTTATAAACCGATTTGGATAATTTTTGTTTTGTTTGAAAGGGTATACTTCCAGATTGGTCCCATTTAAATTTCAAAAAAAAACCACCCCTAAGGGTAGAAAAACAACTAATGATGAATTTAACCTACTTCTGATTGTCAAATTGACTTGAAACTTTGCAAGTATTTCTATTTCCGTTGATAGTACAGTGGTTTGGTGTTGTTGACCTGATCTGATGGCAAGGCCAAAAGGTGGATAGGTGGAACTCTTCAACGGCTAATAGTAGATACTTTGAGTTTGGGCTTATTTTGTTTGATTTGACAAGCCTAACACGTTAGAATCCTTACTATGCTACTACTGTCTCCACTAAAAAGGGAAAAATAAAAACTTTTTAACAAAAAAATAAAAACCGACTTCAAACAAAAGCACTAAAAAGTAAAAAATAACTGATTGGTAGTTTTCATTTACTATACATACCTAATCAAATATTTTCGAAGTCGGTGTGCTTTGCTTTGTATGGGCTGGCACCGATTTCGAAAATATTTAATTAGGTATGTATTTAATAGGTAGGCTTTAATTAATTAGCCAAAGCACACCGACTTCGAAAATATTTGATTAGGTATGTATAGTAAATGAAAACTACCAATCAGTTATTTTTTACTTTTTAGTGCTTTTGTTTGAAGTCGGTTTTTATTTTTTTGTTAAAAAGTTTTTATTATACAATACAAATTGTCTATTTTATTAGCAACAACTGTTAATTCTCTTGACTGATTATAAATTTTTGTATTTTCATTTCTTGCTACTGTGCTACTATTGTGCAATTTTTGGTTATTTTTGAGAAACTTAACAAATTTTGCTTAACACCTTTTACAAAATAAATATTTTTTAAATCAACATGTTTTTCATTATAATTTTTGAAATAGATTTTGACAGTACCTACTTTGGTCGCTTTTAACATTTTACCGTCTGGCAGTTTCACATCTATGGGATCTTTTAAATCTATATAATTATAAAAATATGTCTCATCATTTATAATGTGGTCTGTACACCCACTATCTAACAACCAATTAATTTCACTATTTTTATCACATTCCACTTCACTACCCATTACCTGATTTATTTCCGGATTACAAACTTGAGCTATCCATGTCTCGGCTGAAAAACAATCTTGCTAAGTGTTTGAAGACTCACCTCTGGGATGACCTTGACCTCTGCCTCTCCCACGACCTCGGTAAAATCCACCTCTGTTGTAGCCTTTGTTGTAACTTCTATGTGGTTGTCTTCCTTGGTAGTTTTGATGTCCTTGCCTTTTCTGACCGTACCGACAGTCCTTCCTTATATGGCCTGTCTTTCCACAGATTTAACATTGTGCTTTAGTTTTTATTGTAAAGGTACTCATATCACTTTTCTTGTCTGTATCACCAGTAGTCATATTTTTCTCTTTTATTTTAGACTTTATATAATCTACTGTTCTCTGTTCTTCTGGAATAACATAAATAAAATCTCCAATGTAACTGTAACTTGGAGGTAAAGCTCTGAGCAAGTATCTCATCTTCTCGGATTCATCTATATTTCCACCAGCCGCTTTGAAATCGTTTGTTGTTTTCTCAAAATCAACAAAAAAATCTTCTATTGTATTGTAATTGTTTAATTTAATCTCTTCAATTTTTCCCCTACATATTATTTGCATAGCAGTAGATTAAATAAATCTAACAAACTTTTTTATCATTTATTGAGCTGTGGTACATTCGCTAACATATTCTAATTGTTTATATGAAATTGTGCTCATTATTATAGTTCTTGCTTTTAAATCCGTTTTCTTCCATTCCGCCTCTCGATTTTCATATTTAGCAGGCATCATGCAAATGGCGGGCTCGTTACGTTCTTTATATTCTAGTAAAGTTACTAACCTTAACTTCCAACTTGAATAATTTACACCATCAAAAATGGTTATCGTTATATCTTCAATCCTTGCTTGTTTGGCCATTTTGCTGATAATATGCCGACGCGTATAAAGCGTCTATTCTTCACTATTTTACAGGAGGCGTGAACTACTTTCCACGTGGTGTATTTTTTCGCTGTATTTCAATTATTAACCAACTACGCTCTGCTACCATGTTGAAGTAATGTATCATGTAGATATTAAATCAAAACAGACCAGTACTATTTTATATATTTATTTTATAACTTTCGAACACAGAAATACTTATACAACGCCATGACAGGAAAAGTAATTATTAAGAACACTAGAAGTGAGGAAATAGATGGTGCTATATATAGAATAAAAAGATTATAATATTTACCACAGATTACAACAATTACTAATGAAAATTTGAGGAAAACTTATGTATATGAATAGAATTTACCTATCTATATAAAAAACAACTGTTTTCTTTTTATTGATAATTTTTTTCATTGATAACTAAAGCTAGTCAATAGATAGTACACAAAAAAGAACATCGTTTGCAAACCGATGGAAAAAAGGCACTGTACTGTTTTGTTTTTGCCTATTTATATATAGAAGATTTTATAATCCTTCATTACTATTTACTAGCATATATCTATATATTAATACGTGAAGCAAAATCTTTGTACCCCTTTTTACGAAAATTGCGCAGACGAAGGAGTATGAAATTTCCCACACTTATAGTTTATATAGAGAAGGAGTGCAGAATGCTAATATTTTATTAAAATTATGAATAAAAAATACATACAAAAAAATATTACACACACTACCATGTATTTTACACACACACGCATATATACTCTTTTGTTTATTGTTAAAGTAATTGTTATGGTGAAATTGAGAATAGGACCTCGATATCGATCAATTTTAAGGAATTATGGTTGATTTTCAACTACGTGGCGATCAATAGTCACAATAACTTTACCATATATTTGTTTTAAAAATGATAAGGGGATTTAGTAAGACGTTACTGAATACGCTTCTATTAATTTAATAAATAACCTTTATTCATATATTTTTTTATACTAATCTAATAATAACTTTTAATAAATCCGAATACTAATAAATAACTATACACATTGATTCGATTCATTTATCAAAACAATTTCAGACTACGATTCAGTGTTGCAAACCGACAAGTACTGTAATTGATACAAACTTATTATTGACTAAGGAAAATTATGACCTTGGCACGAAATATTTGGGAAACGGATTGTCTTACTTCACCATAAACTTATTGTCAATGTTGGGACATGAAGGAGAAGAGGATATAAAGGTACAAATAAATAAAATATAATATGTTGGAGTACGAGATTACTCTACGAGTATTTTCCCGATAATAGTTAAAACTAGCCGCGACTTCGCCTGCGTTA